CCTATCTTGTCTTGTTCCCTCCCTCATCCCGACTACCACCGTAATGTGCCCCTGAGCGTATCTTAGTAGTAGCTGGCAGCAGAATTGCCTGGTTGTGTGCGACGACGGAGTAGTATGCCCCTCCCTCCCTTGTCTTGTAAGCCTCGGCTAGTGCGCTAGGTCCGGTGACTGCAATCGGGTAGTTTTTCACATAGCAGACATAGTGAATCCTTCTAAAATGACTGCGGCGAGCTGAATGCGAGCGCCAGGCACGTCCCGAAGGCTGCTCTCCGATCACCGCCATGTTTCTTTTTGCAGCGGACCTTTTCCACTGAGCTGTGGGCCTAAGCACGGTCAGATTCGTGCAGGTGAAGGTGGAATTCGGCTTCGATACATCCAGGGATGGCCTGGGGTGGGTATGCCCTTGAACCTTTTTTCCCGCAACATGCGGTGGATGCTTCTTAGCTATCGTCCGAAGCATTCTTATCATATCGAACCACACCTACCCTCGTTGGGTTCTCTTTGAAAGCCGCGGAGCGATTGTTTTCCTTATTGGCTTTATGTTGTTTGTATTCTCTGCCGCTTTCAATCCAGAACTAAAGCCACTGGCCCGCCAGTAACACATCTATGGGTCTCGCCGCACGGCACACGAATCGAAAATGAAACGAGTGCATCTGCTCACGAAAGGTGGCAACATCACTTGTTACTATCTATATCAAAACGATGAACCTGGCCATTTTCTGGAGGAAGATGCACTCGTTTCGTTTGCGGCTACGCCCTATATGTTTCTTAGAGCCTAATCCTTATCCGCGATGAAGACTAGTGACAGGGGCTTGGTTGATGTGCGTGCTTTCCTTTTAGCCACTACTCAGATTAGCAGACGACTATGCCAACTGTGGTGGGGTTTCCCACCCAATGGGTGTTTTTTTCACCTTTTACTGTGCTTGTTCGCCCTCGGTGCTAAGGTGCATTCGGATGCTCTCTGGACCAGGTGCATTTGGATGCTCTCTGGACCAGGTGCATTTGGATGCTCTCTGGACCAGGTGCATTTGGATGCTCTGGACCAGGTGCATTGGATGCACTCCGGACCAGGTGCATGTTCGACTACTGTAAGAGGGGTATTTTAAGAGAAGAATGAAAACTACGACTGTTGGGACTCACTACACTGGACAACACTCTACATGGATTTGGATGCTTTCTGGACCACGTGCATTCGGATGAGTTCGACATCTGTCCACTTCACAGTGAGAGGAAACTATGCTTGCAGGGGTCCCCTCTAGATAGCCTTAGGAGTAGGTAGTGAAAGGCAAAAACAGAAGTTGAGAGAAGAAC